GCATTCCGACGGGGGCCGATGTATGTCGGAAAGAAATCACTTAGTGAGAAAAGAAAGCAACCGCCATTCGAAAGCAAGACCGGTGTAGTCTTTGCTATCGCGTTAGACCGGCTAATACGAATGAGCGTTAACTCCTTTTTGCTTTTCTTTTCTTTTACACTCAGACCTAGATTATCTTTGGTCAAGATCGATCACGGCCAGGTTATGCAGAGGCGAGTGTTGTGTTTCCGACTTGAATAAGGTATACATTGAGTAGCCTCAGCGGCAGAATGGCTATTTTCTAGATGACTACGTAATAACGCCGCACCGCTTCGCGCATTTGTTTGATGATGTATACTCACGCGTAAAGAAAATAGTGCATGTTAGTAACAAACCTTGGTCTTTTTTTTAAACACATTTTTGAAGTTAGAAACAAGGTTTTCTTCTGAGAGTGTTATTTCGGGTCTATCCGTAGCGTGCGCGTGTATTTATTCTTTCGAACCTAAAACTTTCTTTAGTATAACGCAAAATGTATAACTAATGTCGCCCTATTAAAGCACGTCAGATCGCACTGGGAGGTTCAAATCTAGCTATGAAACTACATTTTTTTTTTTTAAAGTGCAATCGTGTTTATAAAAACTGAGTTGCTCTCTAATAGTACTAGTAGCCCATGGTAAGGCAACTTTTGAACATTATTAACATGAGTTCGAAAAACGTAACAAATAAACACGTGTGCTGACTGAATTCGTAATGTAACTCGTGTATTAAAAGTTTATTTAATGTAATTATAAGAACAACTATTTTCAAACGAAAACTTCTTGGTCTCGCAAAGTAAGACACTTGTCAGCACTTTATTGATAATCAACTCATTAGAAATATTCAGGAATACCCCTTCGGGAATTAATTACTCAAGGGTTGAATTCAACACGAGCTCAAAGTAATATAGATCTCATTATTGCTTTGCGAACAATAACGTAAGAATATTCGTTTTTTGACGTTTATGCCTTAAGTTACCCTGAGTGAAGCTTTTCAAAGCGAAGGAGTCTGCAAATATAAACTAGTGCAAACCAAAACACACAAAGAGCGCAAACACATCGCATAAGCAAGACGACTGTACTATCAAAAATAAACCAATGCATGCAGCACAATACAGCAACATTATTCACATTATCGTTTCTTGTTGAATATAATCTATTTCGGTTCTATTTCGTGTCGTCGTTCGCTAAAGCGCTTACATGCGGTTCGGCTTTTAGTCACGGAAACGATGTCTAAAGCGCGCGCATGCAGCAAGAACCACGACTGCGATAGCCTTACTGCGTCAGTTGAAATTTCCATATGTCACAATGGTGTTGACGGCGCTTTATTAGCGACAAAAATAAAAGAATTTTATGACCTTACATGATCTCTGAAGCCTAGGCCATAATCATGCACCGTCGATTCATTCGCTGTCCGATTCCATACCATAAATAAGAAAATACGAGAGCTATGTTCAAATATAGATATCAAATGATTAAATGAGAGCCCGAAATATCGAAAAGACCTAAAGAAAACAGACGATTTCAACGCGCAACGTAAAAGAACACGAAAACAAAGCTCCGGTGGCGGCCGGCGCAGCACACAGGGCGAGAAACTGAAGGTCGGCCATGGCGGCAGGGTCACGTGACGTCAAGATGGCGGCGCCCATGAAATGTTGCCTGAAAGGTAGAGTGTTTCTGCAAACGTCACCTCCGTCTTGTTTGCTGTTAATTCTTTGGCAGAGGCTGGACAGCTTTTCCGGGGCCGAAAACAACCGGCAAGTCAAAGTGTGCCGCCACTTTTTTCAGGTTGTGTGAGACCTTGTGGATGTATACGGTATACCAGCGGGTCCCACTCCCGTCTTGACCTCCTGGGCTTCCTCTTTTTTCTTTTTCATCTTCATTACATCCTTCTTCAAGTGGTGGCTGAAACACTTGTTTCCAAGATGAAAAAGAAAGAAGAGGAAGCACAGGAGCCCAGGACGAGAGTGAGACCCGCTAGTATACCGTATATCCACAAGGTCTCACACAACCTAAAAAAAAGTGGCGGCACACTTTGATTTGCTGGTTGTGTTTTCGACCCCGGAAAAGCTGTCAGAAGCCCGATTGGATGCATAAATAGTGTGTTGTTTCAATAAACGTTCAGTTCAAAGTAGCGCTTCGTGTTGTCCTACTTCCTCAGTCCTTGTCTTGCGGCGCATTTTGTCAAAATAAGTCATGTACCAACTGGCCCATCTGTCACTATCGATTCAATTGAACCTTTTTTGGGATTTTACCCCGAAAATTAATATCCGGCTACAAAAAAAAGAACATGTAACCGTATTGGTAAAAATAAATTGAACCGTTCTTTTTTTTTTGCCTGCATAAGGCCCCCCCCCCCCCCCCCCCCCCACTATGCATTGCTTAAAGAAACTATGCATTGCAGAAAGAAAGGCCGTGTGGGCGTGACGTTAGCAGTAATGAAAATATGAGAAAGTTTAAGAACATCATGTTCTCTCTATATAAAAAAAAAGAAGTAGAAAACTAGATATCCTTATGAGCCGACGTCCACCTTAGGCTATAGCAGGGGCACCTTCGTACACTTTGTGTCACATCTGTCTCAGCCAAAATTTGACAGCATAATGACTTTGGGCGAAGGGCTGACGAAACTGCGAGAGAATCGCTGGAAACCTACGAGATAAGAGAGGAGGGTGATAATTGTGTCAGCCAGACATCTTTTTATTTACACAAGAAGAAGATATCTTTCTTGAGCACGTGTTGGCACGATGACGGTGCGGTTTTTTACCTCGCTGTATTCTTTTCATTAAACGCCAGGTTGAAGTTCGGCAATCGTCCTGTCCATTCCACCCTTGGTCTGTTTTTTTTTGCGCGGTGCTAACAGTTTCTAATACCTTAAACCAAGAAAGTTCATTGTAGTGGTGTGTGGCATTTATTTAAGTGAAAAACGTCTGTCAGCAAGAGATTACTGTTTTCTGCCCTGTTGATTTTTGTTTTCTTTTTTTACTGAAATAATTGCTAGAGACGTCCACAATACTATGTTTTGATTCAACGAACGCTAGGCTTACGTGCACGTCGGTTAAAGGCAAAATTTCTGTCTTTCTGTTTTGTCATCCAGGGAATGTCATGTTCTCAAACCTTCATATATTTCACAACCCTTAGCGTGACATTGTAATGAAGTTTCAGCTTTCTGTGATGAGTGGTTAATTTTTGCAGGCCAAAAAATTGAGTTTTCTTTTTTTTAGGAACTCAGTACAATAGCATTTCCATGCTCTTGCAGTGCATTGAGAACATTAAATTGAAAGTGCTTAGATAACATAACAAAGCAAAGAATTGCTGTAGCGCAATCCACCCCGTGAATATACATATTCAACAACCTTCGTGGACTAACCACCTCTGGTAAAGCACGGTTCCGTCGAACAATCCTTTGAGTTCCGTTATCCAAATCGAAACAACGCGTTTCTATGCAAAGCGAAGAGCAGCCTTGACATGTATCACGCAGGGTTCGATCATTGCAGCATTTGTCCCTACGCGGCCGAAATTCGCGTGACACTCTACAGATCTTATCATGGCTCTGCTCTCTTTCTTCGCTGCATACCTTTATCACTTCCAATCAACAGATTATCTCGTTGGCGGTCGGGCATCTCCTTTGCTGATGTTTTCTTTTTTAAAACAAAGCGTTTTATTTTTTAAAAGAAAAGAGGTTAAATTTTAAGTATTGTGTACTCTACGCCTGTATATACTTATAAAATGGAAACCCGTATTTATTTTTTTCTAAATATTTGTTTGTCTTTATATGCGCATACGCAAGGGCGCAGTCTTTACGACCGATTAACCGCCAACGCCGACGGGCAATCTGACAATGACTGTTTGCGCTCGAGTAGCCCGGCCTTGCGCCGAGAAGCAATTAAATCAGTATCTTGAACATCAGAGTTCTTGTTTTCTAAATGTGCTTTGTGTCGATGACGTGTTCTTGATTGGGCAAACGATATTTTTTGTCGAGTGTGCGGATAGTCCTTTCGCTTCTCAAAAGCAAGGACACAAGCAAACAAAATAGCCGTGATGCTTTCTTGAACTTTCACTAGTTTATGTAGTAGAAGACCCGTTATCAAAACGCCGACAAGCGACATTGGCTGTAGCCATGTTTTTGTCGCCTCATCCAGCGTCTAGCTTGTGATTGGTCCCGGGCCCGTGACTGATCACCCGTCGACTCAATGACTGACTAAAGGCCGGTTCAGACACTTGCGTTTGAGTGCGTTTGACTGCGTTGCGTCGAGTGCGGAAAGCTAATCACCTGCACATCTGTGCTTCGTATGAAGCGTGGAATCCAATCTAAGGAATCATCTTGGCACGCGATATAAGCAGCAGGGATGTCCTGGTTTCTCGCTGCCGCAACGCAGTCAAACACAGTCAAACGCAACTGTCTGAACCAGCCTTTAGAGTTTAACCCGCATGCCGAAACAGAACACAAGGAGCAGGAGGAAGAATATGACGGACTTGAATAATCAAAGCTGCAGCTACTATATTTGGTCTCAGCGTACCTTGGCAAGAAGCAAGGCTACGGTGCCAGAGAGCCAATCAGGGCGTCGGGCAGAGTCATGTGACCATATACTCCATCTCACTATAGTGCTGTCCAAGCCACCGGCGGCACTGAGAGGACAGCAGTTTTTGTACGAATTTTGAGTTGCGGGTTAATCTTCGAGGGGAGCAAACGCGACATCTGAAGCACAAAAGAGAGGGTAAGAGGGACATTTATCCTTCTTCTCTTCGCCATAGCGTGTGGCGCAATGGCGAGGCATCAAATGTAAATATTCACCATTAAAATAGTCGCGTCATTATGTTTTGTTTATCAGAATTCAGATGTCACAAGTGAATAAATGCGATTCTGACGTTGATTCTTTCATTGAAATGCTCTGGATTAGCGAGACCAAAATGTTTTCCGTGGGAAAGGACGGATTATGCTAGTGAAGATTAACGCTGTGATACTTATTACACTTGCGTTTGGCAAATATGTTGTTCAAGAAATACAAGTAAGTCATCTGCAATTTATCTGCACAAGGTATCGGGTGGTTCTGTTTGTACCATGACAACTCGGGAAAATTTAGTGTTTATCCCAAATGGACGAATTTCTCACATCGTGTTTTACATAGTGCTTAAAAGCACCTGAATTATTTGGTATTTACTTTAAAAATTCGTATTTCAAAAAACGAAATTTACCAATTGCGTTTATATTTTTTGGGTGTTCTTTTGCATACTTCCAGGTTTAAAGAACTGTAGGCGCTCTTACTGCACTTGGTATATATACCAAAATCGATGCGCGCCGTTTTGCTGAGCCTTAGAACTCGTCAACGGTTGTGTTTTCTAAATCTCGTTTCTCCCATCTGGAAAGTTCCTTTTTACCAAACAGTTCGAAAACTCACATGAAAAAGCCTGGAAACATATTATGCCGTAAACATGCATACACAAAAACCGATTAAAGCAGGCAGCGCTGGTAACGCTGCTTTACTCTGGGGAGTGCCGCCATCTATACTTGCCCGTCTGAACTAGGAAGCGAACACACAAAGTAGCTCCGACTGTCGGGCCGCTGGGGAAACACAAACGGGGTTTCCCGCCATTGACGCCTTCGTCGGTTTCAAGAAACAGTGGCGAAACAAGTATACAGAACCGGTTCTCAAAGCGCGGGCACTATTTGTTTCCTTACGTTTTTTTTTTTTGTTTTGTTTTGTTTTTAATATTAATTTATAGGCGCCCTTAGTGCACTGGCTCTCGTTATAATAAAGTCAATATTTTCCGATTGGGTTAGCGTATATCTCCCGATCTTCGAGTTGTTCCTATTTGTGACGATATCACTGTTCAAACAAACTAAATTATGCCGCTCTTGATTAAATATATATTATTTTCATGAGAAGGAACCTATTACTCTGAAAACCAAGAATATTTGTTTAAAAAGTTTGAACTTTTTGTTCTTGAACTGTTCTTCAACTTTAAAAAGTTCAAGAATAGTATAGTGGTTAGGATTGCCTTGTAGTTTGTTCAGTTCAGTGCTATTTTATTATCCGAAGTGTAACACTAAAAAAGGCCCCTAAAGCTGTTTGGGAAACACAATAAAACTCTGATTGATTGATTGATTGGTTAAACTTATGTAGTTTTTACATGCCGAGTCTCTTTGGGTATATTGTTATATCTACAAACACGTAAAAAGAGAGGGCGTTTATTTGTAACCCCCGTGATTATCTCTCTGGTTAAACACATTGGTAATTTCGTTAAATTTGCCCTGAAATTAGCCATAATAATCTAAAGTATATACGTAAGGAGGAATGACATTTTGTATGTTGATCCAGAGACGAAACGATTAAAAAAAGCAGACCGGCCAGAGAAGACGATAATATTTTAAAACGCTCTTTATGTCTACCATACCTTGCGAAAGGAATTAAACTTCATTTTCGAGGCCAAGCGTCACTAACAGGACACCACCCTTACCATCTTACGCGACGAATACATTGACACACAAAACCCCCCAAAAATAACTTCAACGATTTCTAGCTTAGCCTGAGCAAGCAAATATACCGGCTGTAATATTAGCCCTTTGCAACAAATAACGTTAAGAGTTTGAAATGGCTTGATTCGCAAAACACCCATTTTTCGTTCCGAAGAGTTCGCATGCACACGGTTCTCTCTAATCGCCCCACGTTGGTCGGACCACCGTTCTCACGCAACGGGGTCAGAGCGGCCTGCTGCAGCCGCAAGACATGTGCTTCGGGGCACCACAAACAAAAGGGGCCAGTCCAACGGACGTATTTCCCACACACCGATTGACGTCTGGCGCTCCGGATAAAGGAACGGGCGACACGGGCCGGCCGCTCCAGCGTGGGTTTTCTTCTTTCGCTTTTCTTTTTACTCTACACCGAGGAGATCTGAGAAAGGGTACCCGTCTGAACCAGTTATCCGTGCGCACATCTTTCGCGAAGGACGTCGAAGTACCAGCGTCGTCGCCCGAAACGTCGCCGAGTGATTGACTCGATCTTTACTGCCGTGCGTTCGCAGTGAGATACCAAAGCAAAGACAAATGTGAGTGAGATTCATCGCTTGTACCCTCATTTCCTTCAGTTTTCTTTATCCCTCGATGTGCCCGAGAAAGGGTGAAGGAGCTTAGAGCTGAATGCGTTGACGTCCAAAATGGCGCCGTCCTGGGGGTAGCGGCATGCCTGTCAAAGCCTTTGAGGGTGAATCTAGTGCGACTTGAAACCAGTATTTCTTCTGTCAAGACGATTTGAATCGCGAATTTTTCCATTAGAAAAAGAAATAATTCAGGAAACCCTATACAAGCAGCCAGAAAAAACCGCTACGACGTTAAAAAAGTTAGAAAACAAACTTGCTGTTGACTTGTTTTATAAAAAAAAACAAAAAAAACTTAAGACAAATCCTTAAGACTGAGGCAAAACGAAGGACGAACCTCTAGCTTTCTAAAATTAAGCTGCCACACGTTTGTGTGTCTGTGTATGTGTGTTACTGGCTTAGTTTTCGTCACGCTACTGAATCTGAATAATTGGAATGCAAGCCGCGCGGTTGATTGAAATTCTGACCTTTTGAAAATGTTAACATTTGTCGGCAGGACGTGTGTAGTTTTTGAATTACCGTACGCGCGTGAGTTCGCAATTTGAAGTCGAATTCAATGGCTCTCTCAATTCAACGTACTTTTCATTCCACGCATTCGAACCTAACATAAATCAAAAATATTACGTTACACTTATGAGAGTCCTGAGCCGCAAATAATTACTACTTAAACTCCAAGAATCCTTAGCTTGTGATGATAAGTTCGATCATATTTTAGGCTTATTGAGCAACATTCAGAGGACCAGCCTTTTAATATATAGGCTGCTGCCAAGTCAGGTACCATAACGACTTTGCTACTCCAATCTAGTTTAATGTTCCTATTTTCTCTACTTCGCAGTACTTGTACGATCAGCTTGTCAATGCTAAATTAGAAGATTATTAATAAATAAACAATCGTTTTCTATTTTAATTCAATAAGCACCCAGATTTTGCGTTGATATAACAATTGAGTTTTGCACATGTTATTCAGCTAACACTTTTTATGCAACGTCACTCCGTACAAAGACCAAAATGTTCACGTGGCCACTTGTATCTTGGGGTTTAAATGACACGCGCCTCGGTGCTTGGTAGTAATAATTCAAAGGTGTTTTAGCCATACTCGAAAAATACTTAGAGAAGTGTCCTTACCTCAACAAGCATAAAATCACACAAAAGTACAAAGCAAATCTAGCGTTGCGATCCATAGATGTATTTCAACGAAAAGCAAAGCTCAAGTTATAACTGGAAAGAAAACATCGAGATGTGCGCAGGAACATTGCGTATGTACACATGCGATGTGTACAAAGGCAATGGGCAAGTGAAACGTACGTTTTACTTGCCCATTGCCTTTGTACACATCACATTTTATTATCCGATGTAATCGTGTTATGAGCTTTAATATTCCTTTGGCTCTTTCTATCTTGAGCCATGATTGGCTTTATGCGTTCTGTGAAAATCAATTTGCAAAGTTTTCTTTTCTGTTCCTTTTTTTTTTTTTTTTTGAGAGCGTGCAGTTAAGAAATTTAGAGCTGGGTTTACTTTGTTTACACTATTTATCATGTGATTCGCTCTTTGACGTTCTTATCCACGAATCCCTCGAAATCATTGACTGCCAAGCGATGATCACATGCTCAGTACACTTCACGCCTTGCGATTCTTAAGGCCTGTCATGGTCTATATTGTCGCGGACAACTTCAGAAATGAAGGGAGTTGCTCACTGCGTTCATATACTTCTCGAGCTCTCTGCGCCTAATGCGAATTCACGTAGCGGCTACGGTAGAATGCCAGAAACCAGGAAGAGGGTCGGCGAGAGAAACGAGTTCACTGAACGTGCGTGTGTGCGCGCGTGATGAAAACCCGTCGGACAAGTGGTACAAAAAGGGCCGGCACGCGGAGCCCTACAACTGCTTGGCCAGTCTGGCGAGGACACGGGCGTCCGTTATTACGCGACGACGGCGTACGCTGGCGGCTCGTACGATCACGTAACTCGGTATGAACTCGATGACCTTGCCGTTACGCAGTCAACGCCCTCTTTTATGCGGATGCCGGTAGTCTAGCACTTCCATGAGAGCAATAAATCAGCGAAAATGTGGTACATACTACGTATATTGCATTTTGATATGGTATATACAACGTACAAATTGCATTTTGATATAGTAGGGAATTTGCGTAGTGTTATTTTAGGCAAACAAAATTATTTGCTAACATATTTCATCAGTATTGTAGCCCTACGAGTTGTTGATTGAATGAAACTTTTTGAAACCGGTGAGTGCACCAAGAAATTGATACTGCGACAAATAGTATGCACCACATGATGCGGTGCATTTGCGTTTTACATTTTTATGTTCTTATAATAGTTCCCCGAAACCACAACCCCAAATATTTTAAAATGCATCTGTCGCAACAGCGATGGAAGACCACATTCTCTCAGGCTTTAAGTTTGGAGTATTCAAGTTTTTTGACTGTATCACGCAACTCTCTCTCTCCCTCAATACTATACTTCGTTTCAACTTCGGTCCGAGCGCGGCCAATGTTATGAGCCGAAGGGCCAATCAAACAGCGAAAGAGGCACAACGTCATGGCGTGCTCTCTGCAGTTGATAGGACTAGCCAGTATTCGCCGTCTCTCTGTGCGCGCTCTTCCGCCGGCTAGTCCTATCAAGCGCAGAGAGCACGCCGTGACGGTGCGCTTTTTGCGCTGTTTGATTGGCCCTTTGCCTCATAACATCGGCTGCGCTCGGACCGAAGCTGAAACGAAGTATATGTATCACCCCACACAGGAAGTCCGGGCTCTTTTTCGGGGTCTGCCTGTTGGCCACTGCGTGTTGGGCGCAAAACGACACTGCCACACCGGCACCGGCGGTGACGACGGCGCCAGTGGGCGAAGTCCTAGACGACACAGACGCCATCAGCTGCATGTGCGTGCCAAGGGACGAATGCAAGGACGAAACCGTCGACAGGAAACGGAAGACCGTACCGGTAAAGCACGGGTCATCAACACGAGCAGTCAGAGCGTCGCTGTTAACGAGAAAACGACATCGACACTTTCTGACGTTTTGCAACAAAAGCCTCGTAGCCGATTGTAACATTTGACGCCATAGGTTAGTGTCTCAAATGAGGAGTTTCCACCGCACCAGTAGTTTGTTTTGACCTTTGTTGTTTCGATTCTAACCAAAAAGATAATAAAACGAGCGAACAGATTTTTGCACTAAAATTTCCGTGCTTTTTTACATACCTGTGATTAAAAGGGTAATTTGCGTTGTGTGTAGAGCCACCTCTATGACACCTAGGCCAAGCGCCTGCCTACGCATCCTCAGCTGGCGTGCTCGAATCCCTGCCGAGTTGCACGCAATGTGACAAATGTTTATTGCGTTGAAGACGCCGTGTAACCGAGATTTCGGTTGCACGTCAAAAGATCTCCTGCTGGTCGAAATTATCTTCCAGCCCTCCGCTGGGGCGTGTCAAACACCCCGCGTTGGTTTGACACTTACACCACCCAAACTTGAATTCCCTTCATTGTAGCGCACGGACGACAAGTGTACAGAATGCGGTAATATAAACCATGGACGAACGGCGTTCATGCAGCCGCGGCAGAAGAGCAATGCAGGGGGCCCAAGGTACGTTCAGCTGTTAGGAAAAGGAGTTTGGAGTTGATTTCCACATTTCCTATTGTCGCAATCCTCCAGTTGATTTCATTACTTCGCATGCGGGAGACACCATCTGCGGTACAACACCACCGATGGCTGTAGCTTACGCAATCGTATTATAAGTGTCAGCTAAGAAAACAAGAATTTCTGCGATATTAAAACTGGCAAAAGAAGGATATACTGAGGACAATGGATAATAAAGGCCTCTTCACACATGCACCGGAGCGCTACAAGCATAACGCTGACCTCGCACTAAGCGCGTCCTGACGGGAGCGTTCACCAGCTTTGTATCGCACTGTCAAAATTGTTGCACATGCCAGACGATAAGTAGCTAACGACACGTGAGCAGCGCTACATCAGCGCTTCTCTGCATGTGAGAAACGGCCTTAAGAATCACGTGACAGATATGGAGAGGAGTGGCCAATTGTATTGGTATAATTCACGCTCACTATTTGTCCTCCAACTTTTTTTTTTTGTAGTTGTGTGTTTTACACTTGTACTATTGTGAACTTACGCACTCTGCTTTTACATACTCATGTACGGGTAACCTTGATGGCGGCTTGAACGTGATGTGCATTACTTTGTCATATTTGTCGCCCAGGCGTCCAAGGACGACATCTGCGGTCCGGAAATGGTCTGCTGCTCCCACCTGATCGTGCGCACGGAGAAGACGGTCGAGACGCACTCCTACTACTACAGCAATGCGAAGAACGCCGAAGCCGAGGGTGTTGCGAAGGCGGGAGAGTTTCCTTGGCAGGCAAGTCTCGCCATACACCATCCTCGTGCTTATCCTTAAAACCAGTTTTACATCATCTTTGAATATATTCTCATTATATTGACAACCAACTATGCCGTAATATTTAACGCCGCGTCTGCAGCTCATTAAAAAAAATGAAGCCATCCGCACAATTAAAAGTGGCTTGGTGTAAGGTTACAACTATACGAAGATAGACGATATACGCGTCTAGAGGTCACTGCACACAGTTTCCACTTGCTTTAGTCAAACTAATGAACGTCACTATACAAACTGTCGCTTAACTTGTTAAATTACTCTAATATGGTGGTCATGATTGCCACCTTGGAAGAGCTAAACGTATATGATCTACCTCTAGCAAAACAAAAATCAATAAAAACACGTAAAGTTTTGTTTAAAATGTTTATTGCTATACTCTTCAAACAAAAAAAGTTTAGTCGAGGTAACCCTTTTACCTTTGTATGCATATTGTACTTATCACCACCAAATAAAGCACTTGGAAATGTACTTGTACGCTGAAGTTGATCAAACAAGTTGGGAAACCAAGTAAAGTTAAGGTAATATCTAAGGTAAGCTGAAGGGTTGGTTTGGGCTAGTTGGTTAATTGATATTCAAGGTAATACATCAAAAGGCAATACATTAAAAAGCACCATGACAGGCTGACATTAAATATTTAATAAATGGTAATTTCACCGAGGAAATCATCCCACCCAGCACTCTCGTTCAATTTAAAAATGTATTTTATATCTTAAGGGTAAGCAATGAGAGAAGATTATCTAAAAAAAAGTCCAGTGAACATTAATATATAACAACGTTGAGGTAGTGACAACTGCGAGCCGTAGAAAAGGATTGCTTAAAAGTATGAATGGTTATTTCTTTAACTATTAAACTTGGTTTAATTAATGGTATAAACCATAACTTGACCGTTCGTGCAGCCGATATGCAAGGCTGCCGATTTTTGAAGATATGTTTAGCTCGAAGTTCTGCATAATACAACGAACGTCTCATTTAATCTCATCGCAGGCACTATTGTTTTCGCAAGAGGAGGAATTTTTGTGCTCAGGAGTGATTGTGAGCCCAAAGCATGTACTCACATCGGCAGCGTGCGTCCACGAATTTCAGTAAGTGCAGACGTCTTCCTTTAATGACCATTTTTAAGCAATACAGATTTTCACCTACGAAGAAAATACGTTACTATGCTGTAAATTCCTCTGACGTCGCCTTCTGGTGTTCTACACTAAAGAACAATTTTTTTTGACCCATGTAATGAAACCTACGGAAAATCGTGTTCTTCCCCAAATTAACGCTGATTAAAGCTGTGAACGAGCTCTGCCTCTTTCCATATTAAAATCTCACAGAAAGTTGTCTACAGGTACAGCAATAAATAAACAGGTGCATCCATGCCTAAAGCGAAAAATTCAGAGATTTCACTGAGAGTTATCAGTCACATATCTCGATAGGTGGGAAATCATTTTCGAGCGTATTCTCAAATATAATCTGCGGGCGTAAGTTTTTCTAAAACGGCAATAACGCCTCCTTCGTACCGTTTGATTCGTCTATCTGTACCTGGAGTGCTAAAAAGTGCGAAAATGTTTAAAGGGACTATGAAACAATTTTAGACATTATTTTACTGACTAGATATTGTATATGGGATCAAAAGAAACCTTGCACGCGAGGTTAGAAAGGCTAAATACTAATTTTTGGCATGACATTTTGGCAACTAAATGCGGACAAAATCTTACACTCTGTCCTTCAAACGGTCGCCACGTAGCTGAGTGTAGAAATGGGTGGATTAATAAGTGAGTTGTGGCGTAACTTTTCGTAATAGGCGGTAGCTCGCGCCACCTAGTAAAGAAACCGCGACATTCAAAGTGTCGAAATCTTTTTTTTTTCGCTCCTTTCACGAGCATGTCAGTTGAATATAGCTTCCCTATTGGATACGAGTAGTGTGTCACTTGAACTGTGCTCGCAAAGGATATAATTGGCGGCGAATACCTTCAACGCAAATGACCGAGTTTAGCATCCGGTTGCATAAGCCGCAGCGTCAACGAGAGCACCAGAGGTTTCTCCCTGAGGATTTCCATTAGGTGTTTATATTACTTTATTGCTAGCGTTTTGTGTTCGCAGACAAAATGTGAACCTACCGTTCGGTACTGAGTAATCGCCACACCTCCGCGGCCGCTTGTGGCGCCGAACTGCTACACCCTTCATCAGGCGAGTTCTCGTCTTGCCGCGTGCGCGTCCCGGTGTGCGGAAGAAGGTCCATACTTTCGCTTTACCGAAAGATTTTAAGCTGCACTTCACTCAGCTGCGTCACATTTATAGCCATGGCGTTAATCGCACAAGCGTCGCTGACCAACGAGTCCTACGAAGCGATCGGCGTTCATGAAAACCGCAGTATATTTGGCGTCGTTTCGACGTCCTTGCGTCAAACGGTCGACGCAAGAAACGTCATTTCGATCCAACGGGACGCTAGAGTGACGCGGCTCCCTCGCTCGGCTGGGAGAACTTCCGTTTTCAGTAGAAAGGCGTGTTTTACGTCACGGTCACGTGATTTTGCACGTTGGTGGCCGAATCCGGTCGAGTCGAGGAGGAAAGCTGATATCAGTTTCCATTTTTTCGTGTGTGCGCCCGTGCAAAACTGGAGGCAATACAACGAAAACGAATTCCTGCTCCGGATTTTATGAATAGTAAAGATTAATTAAGATCTTCATTTGGAAAAAACTGGAAAATTATTTTATGGTCCCTTTGAGTTTTTTACCTCCTAGAAATAAAAAGAAAAAAATTTCGACAAACATTTAACGAGTCTCGGGTTTCAGAAGTTTCGCCAACAATAACCGCCTGTTTCATTATTTCTTGAACAAAAATTGCGAAAAAAATGCGTAGCATTTTATCCTATTGTTGCATTACCTGTGTTTCAATGCCTTAGAAACGACTGTTACAGTTACGTTACAGGCTGGAATAAAAATGCAACAAAAAAAATTCAAAGGTATGTGAAAATATTTTGTGTTTTACAGGGGTGACAAGGCTTCCAAGCTAGGTGTCCGTCTCGGCGTGTTAGATAGAACTGTCGACGAACCGTCTCCAATATATCAGAACTACACTGTGGAGAAGGTACGAAACACTTCATTACAGCATAAACACCCTGGTATACATACTACCGCAGTACGGCCAACAGGTCTCCACAAAGAAACTGCATAATGTTATCGGCTGTAGAAACCTATTTTCGGAATCGAGCATCCTGAGATGAAACAGCCAACATGTTTTCTTAATTTATATAAAAAAAGGAAATTTTACTCTGAAATATATTTAAACACAAACATAATACATTTTCGTAGAAACAATACAGTTCCGTCGAAAGCTATTTCGAACTGCCTTGTAGTAAATAATTTCGTGGACCATTCCTGTTCCTCAAACAACATAAGTAAAACATTCTTAGTTTCATGAGAGGTACAATATGAAACAAGGCAGTAGACAACAATATTCTTAGCTTCCACGACATATTTTGTGATATAGGGAACGTTATTTTGACCATTGAACAGTATAATGACAACATCCATTTTTAATTAGAGCACGCAACATTCATTTTAGGTTGCGTGCCATTACAAAATTGCCATGTGTTCTTCAATGGTGGGCGGTTTGCAGGTCGTGGTGCACCCGAAATTCCGCTCAGCGTACATCCGCAACCTGGCTGTCATCAAGCTGGGCCAAGAAGTGGGCACCACACCGAGCATCGGTCGCATTCCTGTTTCCCGACCTGAGGACTCGTTTGTGGGCAAGACGTCGTGCCTGGTCAGCGGCTGGGGCAAGAACCTCAAGCGTACGTTCCGTTTGATCAAAATTATACTTCGATTTATTCTCGAACGACCAATCAATTCCGGTCTTTCTTTCAGTCTGGACCAGGGTATTTCAATGTAAAGAAGAAAAACCTCTCTATCCGTCTTGCTTTAGCTAAGACTGTAGAAAAACCTGCGAACATTTACAAGGTGTTTTCTTTATAATGTTCCACAGCTGCACTAACGTGGATGCAGTGAAATAACCTAATGCGCATTACCTGTACTCGTCTAACTTAGGGAGGTGAGTTCATATAAATTTGCATCCCACTTTACTATTTTTTTTTTTATCTGGAGCGCGTGAAGGCATCTATGGCTCCTGGCTTTCATCTGTGCAACGGCAACATTTCGGTTCCCGATATTTCCTGTGTTTCCGTAGTCAGCCCCAGCCGTTGAAATAGAATGACACAACCTGCAGGTGCGCCTGTCAAAGTTACACGCACGCGCTACATGTTGACACTTCTCATGGAATTTTCGCAATACTCTTCTAGAACGCACACAAATTGGGTTGACAATACCATAAGCAGAAGGCACTTACGCAGTTATCTACAGCATACATTCTCAAGGAACTAGAAAGTACTCGACTCTAAGTTGCTACTTTATTTCATAAAAAAACAATTGTTTGGCAACAAAATGTTGACTAGAATCCCGAGGCCTCCAGGAATCTCTACAATCAAGTATATGTGCACAACCGCTGCTATATTTGTTTTGATTATTTAGGGCCACCCAAGAAGAGGTCCTCTGCAGTATGTTGTTTCTCGCGCAGAAATAATGCGAGGGTAAACCTGAAGATACATACATGTTTCAGCCGACCTATTGGTTCTTAATATTATTTGCAACCTAATCGTCACTGCGAAGGCCTAATGGCGCACTGAGGTCCGCTGAACCCTGAAACACGCATTTGAGGATGGGCAATTTAGTTTGCGGTTTAAGCTTATGGCACTTTTTGGATGCTTTAATTTTACTGAACAAATGCTGCGCTACTAAGTGTACAATCTCACATATAGCAGAAAAATACAGCTAATTATTCTAAGCGCTAATAGCCCTTTGTTCCAACTATGGCACACGGTATCGCAAGAAGACCTTATCAAAAGTTTAATCCTAGTTTCAACGACGGTTATAAAAAAAAGAGCAAAATTATTTTTATGTTACCAACCAAATTGTCTTAACAATGCTTTGGTCATAAGTTTATCTCCAACTTTGCCACAAATCATGTCTTCTAGTTGAACGTAACAACACACGGACAACAAAATCTGAGCGTGCAAGTGAACTCGTGGCTAATAAATACTGTGAAAAGTACGCAAGACTGAGATTGCTTAGGGAAGAACACAAACACAAAAAAAAAGTGGTTCTGTTCTTCTTTACGACACCTTGGTCTAGAAAACTTTTCATGGCGCAAGTTCTATCAGTCCATCAAAGGTTAAATAGCTAGCGCTGAACTTTAAGTCTAAGAGAATCTATATAACTACTGCTGAGTTTATTGTTTTCATTTAACTGAAAACACATATCTTCGCAGGCGGTTCCCTGTATCAGCAACTTCGCAAAGCGAACGTTACTGCCCTGAATAGGACTGACTGTCTAGAGCAGCTGAAGAAGACAAAACTTGGCCCGTCATTTAAGCTGGATAATGGTTCCATGTGCGCCGCGGAAAACACCACAGCTGCTGCGTGCGAGGTGAGTTTAGACGCTTCCACTCTAAGGCGGCGGTTAACAAATATCGAGGTCTTAATCACTCCTTACCAGTCACTTCGCCCAACGAGCATCCTATTTATCACTGTCGCCCAGCAGTATAACTCGTGCAAATATTCTTAAAATTACGTCATATTTACAATGTGTTTTTTTAAGGCTTTAAAGATGTGTTTAAAAGAATTCCATGCAAACTACATTCAGTAATGCGGTCTGCGAATGTGAGTTATGCAGCCTGAGAATATAATGTAGGAGGATAATCTTCACGATAAGTCTACTAATTAACTCGGATTCCTTGATTCCTTGACCAAAAAACCCTGTATAACTTTAAACTACCTGGATTATAGAACTGGAAATCTACGTCGAATTCTTTTTGGAAACCTTAAATCCAGATTGCGGTCCAAAGAATGATTTATGAAAACATAAAATCCAGATAAAATCTAGATAATTTTCTACTGTCATTATCGAGATAGCAAGAGTTATACAGTGTATCGTCGATAGAGAACTTCGTAATTATTGGAGAAAAAGGTGTAATTTCAATTAGAAGCTTCATGGGCATCATTAAAAGCTCTAGATAAGTTTTCAAAACATTTGGGATGTGTAGCAAGAGCGGTAATGCGCTAAAGTTATCACTCCTGTAACAAGCGAAACATTGGTAGTGCGAAACTGGGCTCGCGCGGTTTTTCCTCCTCTTGTCATCCGCGTTTCCGCACGCCCAGCTTGTGTCGACCGCACAAGTGGTATCTTCATTGCACCACTTTATTTCCCACCCTCCTTACATGTTCTAAAGTGTACTTATTTTGTTGTTTTCGATGATACTCTGGGAATTTTGAATTGAATCAATATGGTGATTTTCTCTAATAAAAATAGTTAATTAAAACGTTTTAGTTATCCGACTCATCGTGAGGATTATCTTTTTTATATTATGTCCCCCTAGCGGTATGACTCTCTGCACAGACCCCATTACTCTAGCTTTCACGGCTTTTTTAACACAAATCTCTAAAACCTACAAAAAAAATTAAATTACAGCTTCTTTGCAGTGAAACAAATATCCCACAGCCAATGTGTATGAAGGATAGGATAGAAAACTCTACAACGCGAGACGGAAGTACATTTTTAATCACCACAACTTTCTTTTATACAGCCGTCCCACGCTCGCACCCTCGCCGTGTTCGCACACCCCTCGTCTCGTTATCTAAAGTTCGATCTGTTGTACCCAACTCCGGGGCGGTCCTTCCTTCTCCGATCAGACCCTTGCGAAACTTCTCAGAGTTCCCAAGGTCAGAGGACAAACTGTCAGGAAGCAAGACAACAAAATACGCCTCGCTATCTAAAGTTCACTCTGTTGGACCCAACTCCAGGGTGGTCCTCCCTTCTCCAACTTGACCCTTAAGGGGTACTCATATACTTGATCCTTAAGGGGTATAAGAAATCCCGGGGATTCCTCCCCGGCACGCGCGCATCACGAGATAAAACGCAAAGCTTTTGCACATCGCAAAGCCTGACGTTTTCGTCGTGGGATGCGCGTGTCGGAGAAATCCCCGGGATTTCTCCCTCGTGTGAATACCCCTTAACAGACATTCTCATAGTCCCGAAGGTTAGTGGGCCAACAGTCAGGTATACAATATACCCTTCAGGAAACAGTCGATAATGTACAATCTTTTCATAAACGCAAAAACCTCTTTGCCACATCGAGTGTCATTGATGGCTGACTAATACAATTCCCCACTAAACCAATCCTAATGGTTTCTTTTAATACACGTTTTATACGATTCCTTTCTTTAAAAAAAACAACCGTCTCTTTCCCTTCCGCTATACAGTTATTAAATTCCTGAACGTGCCTCGCGATTTCCGAGTTAGCAGTTATTTCTTATAGCTCTCTTCTGTTCATTTAACCCATCTTTCACACACCGTTTGGTCTGTCCGACATAAGGAAACCCACACGACATCGAGATATCATACTCAACGCCTTCGCGACACTCAACCAAGACATCTCTGTTTCTTCTGGCACCCATGTTGTCCCCCCATGAAAGACGCTAGTCTGCTCAGCTTAAAGTCTGTCGTAAAGAGAACCTTTACATTGAGCCTTCTTGAGATGAACATTAAATTGTGGGAAAACCCATGAAAAATGGAAAACTTCCAACTTTGCGAACCTTCTCGGTTGGCCCCTTGTTGATCCCGCTGACCTTCATCAAAAGTCATTTCGCCGGTAACCAGACCAAAGCTCACCGGACGAAAGCTCACCGGACAGAAGCTCACCGGAAAAAAAGCATCCTTTTTCTATATTGTTGTTGTGGCCTGCATCCTTCAAGCGGAGCGTCTGATTCCTCACAGAAACTATTTTTTTTTTTTTTTGTGAGGACAGGACTTTTCGAGGGCAGCGTCTTACAATGTCATTACTATGCCTCTTTTGACTAACTTGGAATGACAGCTCTTAATCGGCATCAAGGGTTTGGGTGCCGCTAAGAGAGCTATAAAAATAACTGCTGCAAATTGCGAAGCACGTTCAGGAATGTAGCCACTGTATAGCGGAATGGGATGAGAAGGTGGTTTTGTTCGAAGAACGGAATTGTACAAAACGTGTGTTAAAAGAAAACCAAAAAAAACCTTAGGATTGGTACACTGGGGAATTGTATTAGTCAGCCGTCAATGACACTCGGTGTGGCGACAAAGAGGCTTTTGCGTTTATGAAAAGAATGTACGTTCTCGACTGTTCTCTGGAAAGGTGTATAGTACACCCGACAGTTGTTTCATTGACCTTGGGGACTATGAGAATGTCCGTAATAGCCGATTCACAAGACGGACTGATCCGCGGACGGATTGATTACGTGATGACATATCCGCGGTTCATCCGTCTCCCAAGCGCATCCACACGAGGGAGACGACGAGCAGACGCCAGCGAGGACGGACCGATCCAGCTCGCCACCCCACAGTGCCGCGAAACTCCAACATCGCACCGTGGCACCGTTGTCCAAGAGAGAAATCGACGTTTGCTACCGCGACTGAGAATCGTACGCTGCTGTTACGCACAGATCGAGACAAAACACCGGGGCAGACTTCGCACCAAGCGCCACTAGTTTTACTAACCCAAAGCATGACAGTGACAGGCATGGTCCTGCTCGAGAAAGCCTCGGCGTAGACGCGACGAAGTTCTGGGCTCGCGGAGGGGTGTTTGGAGATGCCTTCGCGCACTCCGCGCTCGTGCACCACACTCAAGCACACCACATTCACAACTTACAAGAGAGGTCTTGCTCGGTGAAATCCTGATCGGACTTGCAAGAATTACCGCGGCGTGCTAGACAAATTTTGACGGGAGCTTCTTGACACGGTCCCGGAGGAGTACCGAAACCTGCGTCGCGTCAGCCAGACAAGTTTCTGGAGTTTCTTTCACTCGTGGAACCAAGAATCGCGCGTCAAAATGAACCAACAACGCACAAAACACAACGTTGCGCCATTTTGTTTTGAACGCCCAGAAGCAAAAAACCAAGAAAACAATGTACCGTTGCCAGACTAAACGCTTTCCAAGTCAATCTGCCGCCAAACGTCCGCGAGTGAAAAAGGCGCTCGACTTTATCAGTCCGCGCCTCCGCGGACGAGGCGCGGATCGCAGGAATCGGTGACGTGCCGGTCACGTGGTACACGGTCCGCGGACGAAAATCGCGATTCGGTCCGTCGTGTGAATCGGCTATAAGGGTCCAGTCGGAGAAGGGAGGACCGCCCCGGAGTTGGATCCAACAGAGTGAACTTTAGATAGCAAGGCGTATTGTGTTGTTTCGTTGCCTGACAGTGTGTCCTCTGACCACGCGGACTCTGAGATAGTCCGCAAGGGTCCGGTCAGAGAAGTGAGAACCGCCCTAAAGTTGGGTACAACAGATTGAACTTTAGAAAACGAGGCAAGGCGTGTGCAAACTCGGAGAGGGTGCGAGCGCGGGGTGCCTGTATAAAAGGAAGTTGTGGTGATTAAAAATGTAGTTGCTGAGTTTGAGACGATTGTGTTTGTCCCTCTTTGTAAACCTCCGTCTGGAGTTGTAGAATGTCTTATAATAACCAGCTTGCCTGCTTAGTCATGTTGTCTTCAATGATACCATATTGGTATGAAAGGTTCTCTCATTTGACGTCAATTGACTGAGGTGGTAAAGATTTGTTACCGATGTACGAGAGTTTTCTTGAAAAGATGATGTGGTAAGTCTAGCTGGTCTACTCTTCAAATACTAATTTTTATTTCGAAGTCACAGTCCTAAAATTTTGAAAGTTCATCAATTATAAGGAGTTTAATCAAAGATGTAATTCTTTGTTTGAACTAAAACGAAAATTACACAATATTTTTTCTATGAGAAGGTTACGGGAGGAAGGAGGGGTTAGGGGGTTCTATAGAAAGTACTGCGGACGACGCGTATACTCGAAGCGCTGTTCCTGCTTTGTGAGGTCCTTTAAGCCGGGGTCACGCTTTTATATATCATAAAAAAGACAGTCTGCATACAGATTCGAACCCGAGTCACTGCGAGATCCGTGCTTCGAATTTCGTAAGCCAATGAGTTCAAAAATAACTTTGGCAGGCGGCATTCTAACCATGGGTATTGTGGTGACACGTGCCTATACACTGCCTTTTTGTATGATGTATGTGCAGTGTGACACTGGTCTTAAAACTGCACTTCAGATATGGCAATTTTTTGCTGCCGCAGTTTAGTTATAGCATCGTCACCAGTACAAACCCCGTTCAATAATCTTTGACTGTGCCAGTTGATTGAACATCTATGTAAAGAAACATACTTTAACAATGTCTTCTTGCTCACATAGGCAATGTAAGAAATGTCAGCCATTTTGCAGTGCCACAGAAACACCTCCCGGCATTTGATGGACCTACTTACGTGATAGAAAGGTGATGGCGATTGTGATCGTGGGAATAAGGCGGTGTGCAGTTTGTTTTGTTAAATACACTAAAAATGTACATGCTTCTACCTTATTTTGATTAAGAACTTTTCCCGTTTCGGCCTTTGCCAAACTGACACCTCCGAACCATCCGTATTCACCCTACGTTTAGATCAGGTTTCTAAACGAGGTACAGACTGGCATTTGTTAGATTAAGGATGCTGTACATGGTCAGCCTGCAACTCTAACTTTCTGCCTTTCGCCACACTTCAGTGCATACCCTGCCAAAGTCCATCTGAAAAGAACGTGCACGTGCTGGAGATACTGGATTCCTGCTTCTATAGATCACGACTTCCTTTAACTAAGCAATTTTTATTTGTTTCAGGGTGACGAAGGCGGCCCGATGGTGTGTAAGCGAGATGGAGAGGACCGATTTGTTCTCGTGGGCATTGTGTCCTATGGAGACCTGCTCTGTGGTCAGATGGGCGTTCCTGCCGTCTTTGCAGACACGTCGAGGAACATCGATTTTATTTCCGAGACAACTGGGCTACCCAAGGAACGCTTTTACAAGTCTTAGCAGTCGCAAAGTTTCGCGAAACACTTGGCTGCGTCCATTGCTGTAATACAGTCCGATGGAAAGCTTCTGAAAGGCAGCCTATGCAACTTAATGCGTAGAATAGGCAATTAGTTTATTGCCCCATCGATTTTATGAAGCCATCATTTAAATTCACACTATTGGCATTTTGACGCTCTAGAGTAGATTCATTATGTAACTTATTTTAGCAGGCATAAGTGCATCCTAATGTCTTCTGCAGACTTCATTTGTAACAACTATGAACATGTTAACACTACGATGTCATAAACGATCTTAATATGACTAGACAGTTTGCAAAACGTGAGGCGCCAGGCACTGGCATCAAGAGGCATTCTAGAAAATTTTTGTAGCAGCCAATGGATTCCATGTAGGTGAACGGGGGAGGCCTGGCGAGCAACTGCACTACCCTTTTTTAGATCTCTGTAATGTCATTTGGTGTAGATTGCAGGAATATGTACCACACTGGACATTCCATCAATTCCTGGGGCGCCTGGCGCGCGGATTTTTAGGATATTTGCAAATGATATTTTAATGGTCTCGAGAATAAGTAGGTTTGCTCATCCCTCAGAAAAAGAGGCTGGGCCAATTTAGGTTGTGCTACAATTTTCAGTAATATTTTCCTGGGCAGAACCTGTAACCTCGCATTCATGTTGACTTCTGGCCGAAACAAAATGTGCTCCAGAAATAAAAAAATAAAAAATAACGACTGGTTTCTTTGAATATACCGTTAAGTTTACTTCCAGTCTCAGCAAGTGTTCGTGCTGTACCACAGAAATTGGTGTCAGATAGTAGGACTCCATGAAGAAGGTGATTCTGGACAAGTTTTGAGTATTTGTTAGATGTATTTTCTACGTGCAAAGAAGAGAGCCATTGGGACCTTCATTAATCCCTCAAATAATCCTAAAATAATCTGGCACAGTGTTCTGTTCATTTAGCTCCAGCGCGGTTTGCAACAAATCAGAAAAAACAACTCTGAAATACAAATATAATTAACAAGAATATTCCATAAAACCAAATAAACACGGGTGTTTTTTTTTTTTTTTGTAAATTGCAAATGCTCTCAATTTGTTTTCCCAAGACTTATACGTTTAATGGGAGAAAATACAAAGCTTATAGAAGTCATAACGCAAGTGCAATCCGAATCCAATAGGACCCAACTGCTACAAAAAATTTAAAGTAATTTCAGTGATATCAAAGTTAGAACATCTTATCGCAGCTTCAATTCTTTTTTCTAGCTTAATAAGGTAAAATAATTTTTACATTGACATGACGCGCTCACGTTTATTCACAAATTGAACAAATTGTCGTTTTCATTTCGGTACGGCAGCTTTAGAGCTACAATACCAGCAGCAGCTAATAACCGGGTTGATATGATTTTCGTTATACCTAAATATCCGCAATAAAGACTAGATCCACATTGAAATTATGTAAATGTTCTAATCACTTAAAAACCAGTTCTTTCTTTTCTTATATCGAAGCAAAAGAAAGAAACAATTTTCCTGGGAGACTAATGTCATTAAATATGTTAGCGGCATTCCTTGGCCATCCGAAGAACTTGTAGTATAAAAAGAAGTCCTAGAATTTTAAATACTGGAGCGCTCTTCACAGCGCCGCTGAAGCAGAAATCGAATCCTTCGGCCCGAATGTTGATGGTCACCTCCCTGTTGAGGTCGTCGGTGACGTTGTGGCAGTCGGACAGCATATCGGCAATGCAGAACTTGTACTCCTTCACCAGCCTACAGTTTCGCAAAGACCACATAAACAAACTTAACACTTTGACGTCACACCGCTCCGGTGGTGCTGCTGTCGGCATTGCGCATGCGCAGATGTCTTTGCCTAAAGCGAATCTGATTCTTGCGTACGACGCAATGCCCATACACGGACAGCTCAAGAACTTCAGGGTGGCGCAACTCACGAAAGTCTTTTTCTAACACTGTTCAGCCAAACAAAATGCGGCACTAGCTGAGAAGAACGTCCAAGATCGAATCACGAAGCAAAGATGCGTGCCAATCATAAAACATTCCCAGCGTTTTTTTTTTTTTTTTTTTGTTTTTTTTAGTTCTCGGTGCTATATCGTCCTGAATTGCTTCACGAAAACAGTCTCACAAACTGTCTCACGCGTACCTGCTTCTTTTGCCGTCTTGTGCATCAGGTTCTGATGCTTGTTTTTGAAGGTTCAAATGGTCTACTTTTTAGATAAAGCAATTCAGCATGTGCTTGTCTATGACAATACGTATATTTTCTTAGTCACACATTTAGAAGCCGGAGTAAATTGAAGGAGATCGGCTGCCGACTGGGTTGGCACTTATCAGCTCGGAACACGTGGAGCGAAAACTCGCGCTGCAGGACCCAGCGATCCTGTGTTTAATCCGGACCCTTGGACTATTCGATCTTGATGAGCATCGAATACCGGCGTGCGGTCGTGTATCACTACTGCGTGCTGCAGGTTGACGAGCACAGACTAGCGGTTGCACTGGGCTGACTAAATTGCTCATCTATAGTTGAGACATCAGACTCCCATTAGGGCTGACTATCTTCCGGCTGTATAAACACGCAATATATTTATTAATATTATTATTATTCGAAGTAAATCGAGATATAATTCATGACAGCTCACAAAATGGAGGGGCTGGCTAGTTTCGATCATTGTATTAATGCTCCTCTCTCATTGAGATTGAGGTACGAGCAAATATTAAGGCCGAAGAGATGGTTACGAGTCGAAATTCTCTGATTACAGAATTCCCAAGCAACACGGATTTTGGCTAAGCAATGGCCATTGACTGGGAATGGTATTGTGGCCACTGGCCAAAGAGCGGCCATTCATTGGCCAATACTTGGCCGATGGCTGATGGCCAGTGGCCAATGGCCAATGGCCGGAGAAAGGCCAGTCATCGGCCAGTCTCTGGCCACTGTCTGGCCACTAGCCAAAGGACCAATGCCAGCCATTGGCCAATGGTTGACCAACTCCGTGCTGCTTGGGAAACTTGTCCCTGCGTTTCTTAAGTTTTTGGGAAATATCGGGAGTGCAAGTTCGTCTGCTACTTTCGCAGAAGTTACGCTGATGTCAGAAAGCAGAGTTCTGATTGCTTCTGATAGAAATCTAGTGGGTAGACCTCAACGCTATAGCTGCCTTGAGGCCTACCCGCGATCCTTCCAATCAGAGCCAATCCGTGCTCGGCGTATTGACGTCACCGTAACCCCTGCGCAAAAAGCAGACGAACTTCCGCTCTGCATAGTCATTTTATTAGATTTTCTTCTACTCTCCTAAATATTTTATTCCGCTGATGGGACTCACTGCAATTGCAATCCGGTTGTTTGGGGGGAAGTAGGATGAAGAGAAATCTTAATTTTATTCAATTTTTTTTTATCTTACTCTCTTTTAGAGCGCAGCTCTTAGGGGCCCGTTTCCGGCTTGAGCGGCGTCGCCGTCGCCGTCGCCGTCGGCGTAACCGCGCGGTGCATTATGGGTAAATTTCCCCGCTAAATCTAGCGGAAAAATTTCCCCGCTAGATTTAGCGGAAAAATTTCTCCGCTAAACCTAGCGTAAAAATTTTCCCCGCTAGATTTAGCGGAAAAAATTCCCCGCTAAATCTAGCGGAAAATTTTCCCCGCTAAATCTAGCGGAAAAATTTCTCCGCTAAATTTAGCGGAAAAATTTCCCCGCTATATCTAGCGAAAAAACTTTCCCCGCTAGATTTAGCGGAAAAAATTCCCCGCTAAATCTAGCGGAAAAATGTTCCCGCTAAATCTAGCGGAAAAATTTCTCCGCTAAATCTAGCGGAAAAATTTCTCCGCTAAATTTAGCGGAAAAATTTCTCCGCTAAATTTAGAGGGAAAAATGCCCCGCTAAATCTATCGGAAAAATTTCCCCGCTAAATCTAGCGGAAAAATTTTCCCCGCTAGATTTAGCGGAAAAAATTCCCCGCTAAATCTAGCGGAAAATTTTCCCCGCTAAATCTAGCGGAAAATATTCCCCGCTAAATCTAGCGAAAAAATTTCCCCGCTAAATCTAGCGGAAAAATTTCCCCGCTAAATCTAGCGGAAAAATTTCCCCGCTAGATTTAGCGGAAAAATTTCCCCGCTAAATCTAGCGGAATTCTCCCCGCTAGATTAGCGGAAAAAAATTCCCCGCTAAATCTAGCGGAAAGACTTTCCCGCTAAATCTAGCGGAAAAATTTCTCCGCTAAATCTAGCGGAAAATTTTTGCCGCTAAATGTAGCGGAAAAATTTTTCCGCTAAATCTAGCGGGAAAAATGCCCCGCTAAATCTAGCGGAAAAATTTCCCCGCTAAATCTAGCGGAAAGAATTCCGCCCTAAATCTAGCGGAAAAATTTCCCCGCTAGATTTAGCGGAAAAAATTCCCCGCTGTCTAGCGGAAAACTTTTCCCGTTAAACCTAGCGGAAAAATTTCCCCGCTAACTCTAGCGGAACAAATTCCCAGCTTAATCTAGCGGAAAATTTTTTCTGGGGGGTCACGTGACCCCCCCAAGGTCACATGACCCCCCCCCCCCCCCGCCCCGAGAACAGGTAACCCTCAGTACTCTTCCCTCCTCCTCCTCAAGAGCTGCGCTCCTATTCGGTGTTACAGGGAGTTGTAAACGGCTCTCATTTTTTAACAGTTCCTACAGCAGGTTGTGTTAGGGCACTGAATGTAACATGCAATCGTACATTGCTATCCCTGTGCCAGCTGAACGATTGGCGACTCTAGCGCTCTTTTGCTCCTCACACGTGTTTCCTAAAATAGAAGAATTGAGAGGTTGCCCGGTGACGCTCAGAAATTTTTTATTTGAAATCATGTTTATTTACATCATTAAAGAAGGTAATTAGTAAATTGTAGTTAATTTGTTAGCTGATTAGTATACTGTTTACCACCCTTGTCACCCACCTTGGCTGGCAGTATGTTCCCAGATAGAGTTTATTTTTCTCCTAACCACCGTGTTGTAATGAATTTTTGAAATCATTTGCTGACCCACACCCGGTATATCTTAAACTTCACCATTCGCTGAGATTACTCCGTAGAACACAGCACAAGGCGTTTTATGGGAAAGTAGAAGTTCGAGATGACTTGTGGTTCGAGATGTCTAACTGGACAATCGTTCTACAGTTAGAGGAAACAGCTGTAGGAGCAATCACCTGCAGACGAGTTGCCAGCCGTGCGAGTGACTTCGTGGGTGCACGCCGCTGTCGTCCAGGTACCGAATGGCCTCCTTGGCATTCTCCAGGTTCCTCCGGCAGAAGTCCGAAGTACGCACAACGTTCGAAACGTCGCAGCCTGCAGAGTTAGGGAAGAGAATTAAAGGACAGCGCTTCTTTGGCGGCTCCGATTTGTCACGCTGGTGTTCGGTCTCAAAACGTCTTAAATGTAGGTCTCAACTGCAAAAAAAAAAAAAAAAATATTTATATATATATATTATATATAGACAGTGCTCAACTGTGCGTGAGCACC